TTTTTAATTATAGGTATATAAAATTATATAAAATAGTTAAGGTATTTTTTTTAAATAAATCTATAAGCAAAATATTTTTTTTACATTTTATATGCCATCAATAAGATCTATGTATCAAATTAGGGGGAAAATAGTTTGTGTAACTATTAATTTCACCATGGCAATTATTTTTTATGCCAATATTCTCAATATGTTTTTATCTGGAATACTTTATTGAAAGAAGTCTCCATGCAATTCGCATTTGCACGGTTGAGCTTTATGGTATATTTTTTATTAACCATTGTATTGGACCTCCCCAGTGAAGAACTAGAGCAGTACTTAATTGACCAATCCAATTTATATCACACAATACCTTCCACTCATAAAAGCTACTCCAAATATGGCAATACAAATTTATGAAAGAATGTTCAGGAGCCTATACTGTTTTCATTATACTGTACGTACCTAGAATGCTAACCTTTCATAAGAAAATGTTTGGCAATGTTTTACTTGGGTAACAAGTGCAACTAGCCAAATTATCAGCAAAGCTACACTGAACAAAATTATAAACGCAACACTTTTGTTTTTGCCCCCATTTTTCATGAGCTGAACTCAAAGATGTAAGACTTTTTCTATGTACACATAATGCCTATTTCTCTCAAATATTGTTCACAAATCTGTCTAAATCTGTGTTCTGTGTTAGGGAGCAATTCTCCTCTGCCAAGATAACACATCCACCTCACAGGTATGGCATATGAAGATGCTGATTAGACAGCATGATTATTGCACAGGTGTGCCTTAGGCTGGCCACAATAAAAGGCCACTCTATTAAAATGTGCAGTTTGTGTACAGAATGGGTAACTGACAGCAACCAGCACAAAGGGGTGAAAGTATACCAATGTATATTTTCACATTATTATTATTATTATTATTATTATTATTGCCATTCGTATAGCGCCAACAGATTCCGTAGTGCTTTACAATATTTTAATTATAAATAGGACAATTACAAGAAAACTTACAGGAACGATAGGTTGAAAAGGACATGACAGGTACACTTCATAATATTGATCTCATACACTATGAATGTTCAAAACCAGCAGGATTGAAAGTTTTTTACAAAGTAGATCTTTCATTAAAACAAATTGCAAGTGTTAGACAAATGTAAAAAAAATTATGCTTCATACTCCTTACTAGCAAATTGTTTTACCCCTCGTGTTCATTTTTCCTTCCTCCTAGATAATATGCTTTGGGCAAGTTTGAATGTTTTTCTAGTTTAGCAATTCTACCTAAATTTAGCAATTTGTTTGATTTTTAGAATGATTTTGTTAACATTGCAATTATAGATTCAAAATAGAGAGCAAATTTAGCAATTGCATATTGCGCCACTGTAAATTTTCCACAAAGATATTGTGATTAGATGTTTAAGTTATTTTCTTGCATATTTTATTGAATAATATCATGATATGATCTTTATATGTTTTGGAAGGAGTTTGATAGTATATCAAATAACAAAAATTCCAAGTGATAATGGCATTTATTTCTTTTAAAAAAATGTTTTTAGTAATATAGCAGCACCTGCTGAAGTGCAATAGCTCATGAAATACACTACAATAACAAAAAATAAAATTAAGGTGTGCTGCAACTTCAAATATTTTTCAGGAGTATTCCCACTCTTATATAAAAGTGCACTATGCCTTTAAAGTTGGTAGGGTAGTGCGAAAAGCACTGTGCACTATTGTTACAATAAAGTGCATTAAACAAGTGCAAAACATTAGTGTACATACACTTGCTTGTAAAGTGCATACAAATATATAATAAAGTGCGAAGTGTAAACCCACAATACAAAAGTGCAACAAACATATAGTGCAAAGATAACTTCAAAGTGCTTAGATTTTACTTACAAAATGTGTTCTATTCATAAAATATATGGAAGGTGAAAAATAACCAATCTAGTGTAATATTGTAAACACCAATAATAACCTATACATAAATATATGCATACTCATAAACAGGGAGCAGATGAAGACTGCTCATGCTATTCATGCTCCAAACAAATCACTTGGTAGTATCTCACAAGGAATCCACCATGCAGCAACTTTCTTCCTCTAATCTTGATTAATTAAAATAGGGGGAGGTTTTACATAACCCTCCCTGGAAATCAAGTCCCCCACAGATGAAATGCTCTGAGCCCTTTTCGGTTCAATTGCTGGCTCTGAACCTCTCACTCGCAACCCCAGTTCTGGGAGGCAGGGCAATGATGTCACATGCAGCGTGATGACATCACTCAGAATGCCATGTTTTACTGATCCAATCAGCTTCCTCAGATCTGCCCTCTCACTGCTACCAATGGGTTTTATGTCCATTCTATGGACGGGACTCACCAAAAAAGTCAGAGAATACCTCCTTGTGATTGGCTATCACAGAAAACTTTCATTTCCATGCAATTTAAACATATAGAACAAATGTCCATACCAATTAGAATACATCTACCTACTTTTGTTCTTCCCACCACTGACAAGCTAAAAGTTAATTGAGGAGAACTGATTAAATCTTTTGAACAGTATATTACATGTTTGATATATGATCGTTAAAATGGTAGATTAACATATTTTGATGAGATTTTACCTAAATTCTCATAATTATGACTCCAGAGAGGATTTTTTTTTACTTATATCTAAGTATAAGATCTACCAATTAAAATAGATAAATACGTTTGAAGCATTTTTTAATTTGAAAGAAGAACAGTAAGTAAGTAGAGCCAGATTAGATACACAATAGAAGTGGGGGGTAACCCCTAATAGAAAATGAAAAATACAAGAAGAGGAATGTATCTAATACATGATGCGAGATATATGCATCAAGAGAAGGGGTTCAAAATAGCCAACAAAAGGCCTACTATATAGGCCAGACAGAACCACTAAAATGAAAGAACAAAAAATAATAAAGATTTATTAAACACTACAAAAATGTAACCCAAATATGTGCTACCCTATAAACACCAAAAAGTTAAAATATAAATATAAATACAGGTCGTATGAAAATAATAAAAACAAAATATAATTGCAGATCAAAATATAAGAAACTATTACTATCGGTAGTAGCTGGTAATAAGTCAGGTTAGAAGAGCAGAATGCCGATCTAATGGATGAATAATCAGTGGTGTGGTCTGGTACTATGGAGACCAGAACTAAGCTAGTAGATTAATATAGGTCCTATCAACCAGTGAGTGTGACATAATCTAGAAAGCTGTTCCTGTCCATAGTGGCTAATGATGTGCCATACATTCAGACACCCTGGTGGTTCAACAATAGATTATAAAGTCTGTTGCTTGAAATATCAGAAAATGCTATTGGACTATATAGGTCCTTTAAATATCTGAGAAGAAGTCATAAATATCAGTAAAAGAAAAATGAGATCATTAAATGAACGTTGAGCTGATATTCAAACCAGTATTGAAGTGGTTAAAGTGGTAATCTAAATCGAAGGATACCACTAATTAACTAGATATAAGGGGTATATATAGAACGGCAGCAGCCAATAATCGTGGTACCGACAGTAAAGCATGCATGAGAATAGCTAGGAGGGAGAGAGTAGAACAAAGACACATATAAAAGTCAAGTAGCAATAACCAGTGCTACAAAGTATCATATACCAAAATTGTCCAATGATACAAAAAAAATATAGTTAACGATATGAGAAAAGGTAGCACCCTCTATATAAATATGTGTCCCGTGCCTTCAAGGGCACCTAACTCCAACCCCCCAAAGATCTATTAGTCAAGATAGAGCTATGAAAATTAATAAGATCTGCAAAAATAGGAGTAAACACTATATATGTTTGAATAGAAATATAGAATGAAAACAGCGCGGTCGCTAGTCTGTGTGCTGCACTAAGGATCCAAGGAGCGCAGCACACTACAATCCTCTGACGCGCGCGTTTCGCTACACCTAGCTCGTCAGAGAGGAAACGGGAGGTGCGTGAGCACCGGGTTTAAAATTCCAAAGAAGTTGTTTGATTGGTCCAGGTAAGCAGTTCCCCATTGGTTGCCTAAAATGACGTGACGGAAAGCATTTGGAGAGATAGAATGATCTATGCGGCTGCAAATAGTTAACCCTTTGGTGACAGAATTGGGATTTCCAAAATCGAAAAATATAGCATTTAGACTAAACTACTACACAAATGTTTGGTAACAAAGACAGATTTGTTTATGCAGTTATTAAATACGTTTGAGTCTATTCTGAAGTAGCTCCATGGGTGGAGGTCAAAACGCAACCATAAGACCCAGAAACAATTAGATTCCATAATACATCATTAGGACAGATTCTTATGTAAACAGTACAATTCAATGATCAATGATATAAACATGATGTCATTCCGGGAGCCACCAAATCATATATTATAAAAATGATCAGCCTTGTATGGTATATAAGAAGAAACAGTACAAGAGTGTCCTGATAAGTCTTAAATAAGGCTTAAATAAGGATTTATCTAGACGGAAAACACTATATCATATAAATAGAAAGAATACTGATATATTGAACTTAAAATAGTGTCTAATGTGTCTGACAAAATAAAAATAAATTTGCAGATCAAAATATGAAAAACTATAACTATCGGTAGTGGCTGGTAATAAGTCAAGCTAAAACAGCAGAATGCCGATCTAATGAATCAATAATCAGTGGTGTAGTCTGGTACTATGGAGACCAAAACTAAGCTTGTAGATTAATATAGGTCATATCAACCAGTGAATGTGACATAATCTAGAAAGCTGTTTCTGTCCATAGTGGCTAATAATATGCCATATATTCAAACACCCTGGTGGTTCGACAATAGATTATAAAGTCTATTGCTTGAAATATCAGAAAATGCTATTGGGATATACAGGTCCTTTAAATATCTGAGATAAGATCATAAATATCAGTAAGAGAAAAATAAGATCATTAGATGAACGTTGAGCTGATATTAAAACCAGTATTGAAGTGGCTGAAGTGGTGATCTCAATAAAAGGATACCACTAATTAGCTAGATATAAGGGGTATATATAGAACGGCAACAGCCAGAAATCGCTGCACCGACAGTAAAGCATACATGAGAATAACTAGGAGGGAGAGAGTAGAACAAAGACACATGTATAGGTCAAGTAGCAATAACCAGTGCTACAAAGTATCATGTATCCAGAATATCCAATGATACAAAGAATAGTTCACGATATGAGAAAGGGTAACATCCTCTATATGTGCTGTAATGAGGATCCAAGGAGTGCAGCACACCACAATCCTCTATGAATCATAATAAATGATTAGTTTATATGGCTATCCCATGGAACATATACTAATTAGAATTAGACATAGGTCACTAATAATGGCTATGGAAAATATGTTAATATGCAGAGAGACTATTAATGGTTCGTTATTAATGTATGAAGGGGGTAAAATTAAACTCCTCATTGAGCCCGTCTGGTGACAATGTCTTTAAAATATATATCCATCTGGACTCTTTCATGAGAAGTATTTTATTAAAGTTACCCTTCCTTGTGTTTAAGGTAAGTTTCTCCAAGGCCTGGAAAGTTAATTTAGTGGGGTCTGCCTCATGATAGTTGCGGACATGATTAGCTATTGGGGTCGAGATGTTCAAGTTGGTAATTGAACAGACATGTTGAAGTATCCTCCGTTTAAATTGCTGGTAGGTCTTTCCTACATATTGTATACCGCAGCTGCAGGTGATTAAATATATCACCCGTGTTGAGCTGCAGTTAATGAATTCTTTAACCGTATATTCATTTTTAGTTCTAAAGCTTCTGACAGTTTTTGTTGGTTTAATATACTGACAGGCTTTACAATGCCCACATCGAAATACTCCAGTAGTTTGTTTTAACCAGGTGGATTGTAATAACTTGACAGGTTCTGTATGACTGTGGACAAGAATGTCTTTCAAATTTCTTGCTCTGCGAGCAGTCATCTGGGGAAATTTTTCAATACTGTCACTTAGATCCATATCATGTTGTAAAATGGGCCAATTCCGAGAGATAATTTTGCGTATCTTATCCCAATGGGGATCATAGGTGCCAATGCACCGAGTTGTCTTTGTTTCAGTCCTAGATCTAGTGTTTCTCAGGCTATCACTCCTGTTGGTCGAGAGAACTCGTTGATAGGCTCGTTTAAGAACCCTATTAGGATAGCCTTTCTTTTTAAACATTAGTCTCAGTTTCTTTGCTTCCAATTGGAAGGTTGATTCGTTAGAGCAATTTCGTCTCGCACGGAGATATTGGCCATACGGTATCCCAGATTTTAATTTCATTGGATGATAACTTGTCCAGTTTAATAAGCTGTTCGTTGCTGTATCTTTTCTGAAAAGTGTGGTTTCAATTTTACCATCCTCCTGTATCTGGATATCTAGATCCAGAAAAACCAGATGTTCCGAATCTATCACATGTGTGAGTTTAAGGCCAATGTTGTTAATATTAAGTAGATTCACTAGATCTTGAAATTGTTTAATCGACCCCAACCAAAAGACCAGGATGTCATCAATATATCTATGCCAACTATAGATATACGTGTCATACTGGTCTTTGGTGATAACTGGTAAGATGGTCTCTTCCCACCAACCTAAATAAAGGTTGGCATAGCTAGGGGCACAAGCCGTGCCCATAGCTGTGCCCATTAACTGTAAGTAGTATTGACCATTGAATACAAAAAAGTTATGAGTGAGGATATATTCTAGTAACTTGATGATAAAATTACTCTGTGCAGATGTAAACTCTGAAGACTTATTCAGAAAATAAGAGGTAGCTTGTATGCCTATGGTGTGTGGAATGTTATTGTAAAGAGCAACAACATCCAAACTACCTAATAGGCAATATGGAGGTACCATCAAGTTTTCCAGTAGCAACAATGTCTGTTTGGTGTCCTGGAGGTAGGACTTTAAATTGACCACTAATGGATGTAGTAGTTTCTCAAGAAATTTGCTACCTCTTTCTGTGATTGAGCCATTGCCTGACACGATTGGTCTTCCCGGTGGTTTTTCGAGATTTTTATGAATTTTGGGAAGACAATAAAAGGTGGCAATGGTTGGAGTCATATTTGGAAGGATGTATTTTAATTCATCGTTACTGATAATACCCTCCATTTCTGCAATTTCCAAAAGAGATTTTAATTCAGTTAGGTATTCAGTGGTTGGGTCTGTTGGCAGGCGGCGATATACATCAGTATTTTCAAGATGTTCCATACACATCTCAATATAGTTGGCTTTATCCATTAACACGATGTTCCCACCTTTATCTGATGACTTAATGACCAGATTAGATTCTCGACTTAGTTCAACTAGAGCCCTTCTTTCTGCCAAAGTTAAGTTGTCTTTATAAGAGGTAGGGGGATCTAGAGACTCAATTTCATTAGTAGTCATTTTAATGAAAAGGTCTACACTAGAAATTTCCTTTAAATTAGGTGTAAACCAACTTTCTGGTTTAAAATTTGTGAGGGGTTGGACTGAATCTTGTTCGTCCAATAAAGAAAGTAATGTCTGATATTGTTGATAGTCCGTATAGGAAAAGCCAGCTTCTTTGGCTTGTTTTTGAATTTTTCTCTTGTGCACCACACTCAGGGCTAGTTTACGGCCGAATAGATTGGTATCTTTAATCCAATCAAACTTATTAAATTTGGGGGTGGGTACAAAGGACAGACCTTTTCCAATAGTGATAAATGGTGTATTTTTAGTGTGAATGTTGACAGATTCACTATTTGATTTTGATCATTATTTATTGAGTCAGGTTTGTCCGTTTGTCCGGTTTGTAACCCCATTTGTTTCGGTCTCGTAACCTGCCCCCTATTGGCACTGGCCAATCCTCCTCTAAAAAAGGAGATGAAAAAGGTCTTGTGGTACTCTCTGCTGGATTTAGCCCTTGGTTCTCAGTCACTGGATTATCAGAAAAATTAACATTTCTATTAGGTTGTTTCAAGATACCTCTACCTCTTTTCTTGTTTGAGTATTCTCTAATGCGTTGGTTTCTAGATGACCTAGAAGAACCTGAATCAGAATCGGTCCACTCAGTATTACCTGATGTTGAACCATTCTCACTTAAAGTGCGTGGTCTAAATTTTCTTCTGGTCCGAAAGATATTGCCCTCCTTGAAGTCTTTATAGTCTCTAACAAATTTAATATGTTTTTTCTCCTTAACATGTTTTTTAAAAGAATCTAAGTTTTTCTGAAGTTTATTTTCCATAAGTGGAAATTCGGCTTTGTCCTTAAATGTTTTTACCGTCACCAATTCTTTTTCCAAATTTATGTTAGTATCTTCTAAATTTTGTGATTCGAGTTTGATTAGGAACTGCATTAATTTTTCTGAGCATTCTAAAAGAATGCCATTCCATTCACGTTTTTGTTCCTCAGTGGTTATCTTGTCTGGTAATGGGATTTCTGGTCTAAGTCCCCGTGGCACAAGTTTCTGATCAATATATTGTTTCAAACTCACTAATTCCCAGTAACCCTTGATCTGTTGCTGATACAATTTCTGAATTTGAAAAAATGTATCACTAATATCGTTATTGGATGTAGAATTGAGGGGATTAAGTGAGAAAACATTATTAATGTCAGTGGACCCTGGATCAGGGTTTACTACTGTTGTTAGAAACAGTGACATGGTATTGATTATATTTATTTTTAGGCTCTATTAGGTATTAAAACCTGGTATTGAAAGAAGAACAGTAAGTAAGTAGAGCCAGATTAGATACACAATAGAAGTGGGGGGTAACCCCTAATAGAAAATGAAAAATACAAGAAGAGGAATGTATCTAATACATGATGCGAGATATATGCATCAAGAGAAGGGGTTCAAAATAGCCAACAAAAGGCCTACTATATAGGCCAGACAGAACCACTAAAATGAAAGAACAAAAAATAATAAAGATTTATTAAACACTACAAAAATGTAACCCAAATATGTGCTACCCTATAAACACCAAAAAGTTAAAATATAAATATAAATACAGGTCGTATGAAAATAATAAAAACAAAATATAATTGCAGATCAAAATATAAGAAACTATTACTATCGGTAGTAGCTGGTAATAAGTCAGGTTAGAAGAGCAGAATGCCGATCTAATGGATGAATAATCAGTGGTGTGGTCTGGTACTATGGAGACCAGAACTAAGCTAGTAGATTAATATAGGTCCTATCAACCAGTGAGTGTGACATAATCTAGAAAGCTGTTCCTGTCCATAGTGGCTAATGATGTGCCATACATTCAGACACCCTGGTGGTTCAACAATAGATTATAAAGTCTGTTGCTTGAAATATCAGAAAATGCTATTGGACTATATAGGTCCTTTAAATATCTGAGAAGAAGTCATAAATATCAGTAAAAGAAAAATGAGATCATTAAATGAACGTTGAGCTGATATTCAAACCAGTATTGAAGTGGTTAAAGTGGTAATCTAAATCGAAGGATACCACTAATTAACTAGATATAAGGGGTATATATAGAACGGCAGCAGCCAATAATCGTGGTACCGACAGTAAAGCATGCATGAGAATAGCTAGGAGGGAGAGAGTAGAACAAAGACACATATAAAAGTCAAGTAGCAATAACCAGTGCTACAAAGTATCATATACCAAAATTGTCCAATGATACAAAAAAAATATAGTTAACGATATGAGAAAAGGTAGCACCCTCTATATAAATATGTGTCCCGTGCCTTCAAGGGCACCTAACTCCAACCCCCCAAAGATCTATTAGTCAAGATAGAGCTATGAAAATTAATAAGATCTGCAAAAATAGGAGTAAACACTATATATGTTTGAATAGAAATATAGAATGAAAACAGCGCGGTCGCTAGTCTGTGTGCTGCACTAAGGATCCAAGGAGCGCAGCACACTACAATCCTCTGACGCGCGCGTTTCGCTACACCTAGCTCGTCAGAGAGGAAACGGGAGGTGCGTGAGCACCGGGTTTAAAATTCCAAAGAAGTTGTTTGATTGGTCCAGGTAAGCAGTTCCCCATTGGTTGCCTAAAATGACGTGACGGAAAGCATTTGGAGAGATAGAATGATCTATGCGGCTGCAAATAGTTAACCCTTTGGTGACAGAATTGGGATTTCCAAAATCGAAAAATATAGCATTTAGACTAAACTACTACACAAATGTTTGGTAACAAAGACAGATTTGTTTATGCAGTTATTAAATACGTTTGAGTCTATTCTGAAGTAGCTCCATGGGTGGAGGTCAAAACGCAACCATAAGACCCAGAAACAATTAGATTCCATAATACATCATTAGGACAGATTCTTATGTAAACAGTACAATTCAATGATCAATGATATAAACATGATGTCATTCCGGGAGCCACCAAATCATATATTATAAAAATGATCAGCCTTGTATGGTATATAAGAAGAAACAGTACAAGAGTGTCCTGATAAGTCTTAAATAAGGCTTAAATAAGGATTTATCTAGACGGAAAACACTATATCATATAAATAGAAAGAATACTGATATATTGAACTTAAAATAGTGTCTAATGTGTCTGACAAAATAAAAATAAATTTGCAGATCAAAATATGAAAAACTATAACTATCGGTAGTGGCTGGTAATAAGTCAAGCTAAAACAGCAGAATGCCGATCTAATGAATCAATAATCAGTGGTGTAGTCTGGTACTATGGAGACCAAAACTAAGCTTGTAGATTAATATAGGTCATATCAACCAGTGAATGTGACATAATCTAGAAAGCTGTTTCTGTCCATAGTGGCTAATAATATGCCATATATTCAAACACCCTGGTGGTTCGACAATAGATTATAAAGTCTATTGCTTGAAATATCAGAAAATGCTATTGGGATATACAGGTCCTTTAAATATCTGAGATAAGATCATAAATATCAGTAAGAGAAAAATAAGATCATTAGATGAACGTTGAGCTGATATTAAAACCAGTATTGAAGTGGCTGAAGTGGTGATCTCAATAAAAGGATACCACTAATTAGCTAGATATAAGGGGTATATATAGAACGGCAACAGCCAGAAATCGCTGCACCGACAGTAAAGCATACATGAGAATAACTAGGAGGGAGAGAGTAGAACAAAGACACATGTATAGGTCAAGTAGCAATAACCAGTGCTACAAAGTATCATGTATCCAGAATATCCAATGATACAAAGAATAGTTCACGATATGAGAAAGGGTAACATCCTCTATATGTGCTGTAATGAGGATCCAAGGAGTGCAGCACACCACAATCCTCTATGAATCATAATAAATGATTAGTTTATATGGCTATCCCATGGAACATATACTAATTAGAATTAGACATAGGTCACTAATAATGGCTATGGAAAATATGTTAATATGCAGAGAGACTATTAATGGTTCGTTATTAATGTATGAAGGGGGTAAAATTAAACTCCTCATTGAGCCCGTCTGGTGACAATGTCTTTAAAATATATATCCATCTGGACTCTTTCATGAGAAGTATTTTATTAAAGTTACCCTTCCTTGTGTTTAAGGTAAGTTTCTCCAAGGCCTGGAAAGTTAATTTAGTGGGGTCTGCCTCATGATAGTTGCGGACATGATTAGCTATTGGGGTCGAGATGTTCAAGTTGGTAATTGAACAGACATGTTGAAGTATCCTCCGTTTAAATTGCTGGTAGGTCTTTCCTACATATTGTATACCGCAGCTGCAGGTGATTAAATATATCACCCGTGTTGAGCTGCAGTTAATGAATTCTTTAACCGTATATTCATTTTTAGTTCTAAAGCTTCTGACAGTTTTTGTTGGTTTAATATACTGACAGGCTTTACAATGCCCACATCGAAATACTCCAGTAGTTTGTTTTAACCAGGTGGATTGTAATAACTTGACAGGTTCTGTATGACTGTGGACAAGAATGTCTTTCAAATTTCTTGCTCTGCGAGCAGTCATCTGGGGAAATTTTTCAATACTGTCACTTAGATCCATATCATGTTGTAAAATGGGCCAATTCCGAGAGATAATTTTGCGTATCTTATCCCAATGGGGATCATAGGTGCCAATGCACCGAGTTGTCTTTGTTTCAGTCCTAGATCTAGTGTTTCTCAGGCTATCACTCCTGTTGGTCGAGAGAACTCGTTGATAGGCTCGTTTAAGAACCCTATTAGGATAGCCTTTCTTTTTAAACATTAGTCTCAGTTTCTTTGCTTCCAATTGGAAGGTTGATTCGTTAGAGCAATTTCGTCTCGCACGGAGATATTGGCCATACGGTATCCCAGATTTTAATTTCATTGGATGATAACTTGTCCAGTTTAATAAGCTGTTCGTTGCTGTATCTTTTCTGAAAAGTGTGGTTTCAATTTTACCATCCTCCTGTATCTGGATATCTAGATCCAGAAAAACCAGATGTTCCGAATCTATCACATGTGTGAGTTTAAGGCCAATGTTGTTAATATTAAGTAGATTCACTAGATCTTGAAATTGTTTAATCGACCCCAACCAAAAGACCAGGATGTCATCAATATATCTATGCCAACTATAGATATACGTGTCATACTGGTCTTTGGTGATAACTGGTAAGATGGTCTCTTCCCACCAACCTAAATAAAGGTTGGCATAGCTAGGGGCACAAGCCGTGCCCATAGCTGTGCCCATTAACTGTAAGTAGTATTGACCATTGAATACAAAAAAGTTATGAGTGAGGATATATTCTAGTAACTTGATGATAAAATTACTCTGTGCAGATGTAAACTCTGAAGACTTATTCAGAAAATAAGAGGTAGCTTGTATGCCTATGGTGTGTGGAATGTTATTGTAAAGAGCAACAACATCCAAACTACCTAATAGGCAATATGGAGGTACCATCAAGTTTTCCAGTAGCAACAATGTCTGTTTGGTGTCCTGGAGGTAGGACTTTAAATTGACCACTAATGGATGTAGTAGTTTCTCAAGAAATTTGCTACCTCTTTCTGTGATTGAGCCATTGCCTGACACGATTGGTCTTCCCGGTGGTTTTTCGAGATTTTTATGAATTTTGGGAAGACAATAAAAGGTGGCAATGGTTGGAGTCATATTTGGAAGGATGTATTTTAATTCATCGTTACTGATAATACCCTCCATTTCTGCAATTTCCAAAAGAGATTTTAATTCAGTTAGGTATTCAGTGGTTGGGTCTGTTGGCAGGCGGCGATATACATCAGTATTTTCAAGATGTTCCATACACATCTCAATATAGTTGGCTTTATCCATTAACACGATGTTCCCACCTTTATCTGATGACTTAATGACCAGATTAGATTCTCGACTTAGTTCAACTAGAGCCCTTCTTTCTGCCAAAGTTAAGTTGTCTTTATAAGAGGTAGGGGGATCTAGAGACTCAATTTCATTAGTAGTCATTTTAATGAAAAGGTCTACACTAGAAATTTCCTTTAAATTAGGTGTAAACCAACTTTCTGGTTTAAAATTTGTGAGGGGTTGGACTGAATCTTGTTCGTCCAATAAAGAAAGTAATGTCTGATATTGTTGATAGTCCGTATAGGAAAAGCCAGCTTCTTTGGCTTGTTTTTGAATTTTTCTCTTGTGCACCACACTCAGGGCTAGTTTACGGCCGAATAGATTGGTATCTTTAATCCAATCAAACTTATTAAATTTGGGGGTGGGTACAAAGGACAGACCTTTTCCAATAGTGATAAATGGTGTATTTTTAGTGTGAATGTTGACAGATTCACTATTTGATTTTGATCATTATTTATTGAGTCAGGTTTGTCCGTTTGTCCGGTTTGTAACCCCATTTGTTTCGGTCTCGTAACCTGCCCCCTATTGGCACTGGCCAATCCTCCTCTAAAAAAGGAGATGAAAAAGGTCTTGTGGTACTCTCTGCTGGATTTAGCCCTTGGTTCTCAGTCACTGGATTATCAGAAAAATTAACATTTCTATTAGGTTGTTTCAAGATACCTCTACCTCTTTTCTTGTTTGAGTATTCTCTAATGCGTTGGTTTCTAGATGACCTAGAAGAACCTGAATCAGAATCGGTCCACTCAGTATTACCTGATGTTGAACCATTCTCACTTAAAGTGCGTGGTCTAAATTTTCTTCTGGTCCGAAAGATATTGCCCTCCTTGAAGTCTTTATAGTCTCTAACAAATTTAATATGTTTTTTCTCCTTAACATGTTTTTTAAAAGAATCTAAGTTTTTCTGAAGTTTATTTTCCATAAGTGGAAATTCGGCTTTGTCCTTAAATGTTTTTACCGTCACCAATTCTTTTTCCAAATTTATGTTAGTATCTTCTAAATTTTGTGATTCGAGTTTGATTAGGAACTGCATTAATTTTTCTGAGCATTCTAAAAGAATGCCATTCCATTCACGTTTTTGTTCCTCAGTGGTTATCTTGTCTGGTAATGGGATTTCTGGTCTAAGTCCCCGTGGCACAAGTTTCTGATCAATATATTGTTTCAAACTCACTAATTCCCAGTAACCCTTGATCTGTTGCTGATACAATTTCTGAATTTGAAAAAATGTATCACTAATATCGTTATTGGATGTAGAATTGAGGGGATTAAGTGAGAAAACATTATTAATGTCAGTGGACCCTGGATCAGGGTTTACTACTGTTGTTAGAAACAGTGACATGGTATTGATTATATTTATTTTTAGGCTCTATTAGGTATTAAAACCTGGTATTGAAAGAAGAACAGTAAGTAAGTAGAGCCAGATTAGATACACAATAGAAGTGGGGGGTAACCCCTAATAGAAAATGAAAAATACAAGAAGAGGAATGTATCTAATACATGATGCGAGATATATGCATCAAGAGAAGGGGTTCAAAATAGCCAACAAAAGGCCTACTATATAGGCCAGACAGAACCACTAAAATGAAAGAACAAAAAATAATAAAGATTTATTAAACACTACAAAAATGTAACCCAAATATGTGCTACCCTATAAACACCAAAAAGTTAAAATATAAATATAAATACAGGTCGTATGAAAATAATAAAAACAAAATATAATTGCAGATCAAAATATAAGAAACTATTACTATCGGTAGTAGCTGGTAATAAGTCAGGTTAGAAGAGCAGAATGCCGATCTAATGGATGAATAATCAGTGGTGTGGTCTGGTACTATGGAGACCAGAACTAAGCTAGTAGATTAATATAGGTCCTATCAACCAGTGAGTGTGACATAATCTAGAAAGCTGTTCCTGTCCATAGTGGCTAATGATGTGCCATACATTCAGACACCCTGGTGGTTCAACAATAGATTATAAAGTCTGTTGCTTGAAATATCAGAAAATGCTATTGGACTATATAGGTCCTTTAAATATCTGAGAAGAAGTCATAAATATCAGTAAAAGAAAAATGAGATCATTAAATGAACGTTGAGCTGATATTCAAACCAGTATTGAAGTGGTTAAAGTGGTAATCTAAATCGAAGGATACCACTAATTAACTAGATATAAGGGGTATATATAGAACGGCAGCAGCCAATAATCGTGGTACCGACAGTAAAGCATGCATGAGAATAGCTAGGAGGAAGAGAGTAGAACAAAGACACATATAAAAGTCAAGTAGCAATAACCAGTGCTACAAAGTATCATATACCAAAATTGTCCAATGATACAAAAAAAATATAGTTAACGATATGAGAAAAGGTAGCACCCTCTATATAAATATGTGTCCCGTGCCTTCAAGGGCACCTAACTCCAACCCCCCAAAGATCTATTAGTCAAGATAGAGCTATGAAAATTAATAAGATCTGCAAAAATAGGAGTAAACACTATATATGTTTGAATAGAAATATAGAATGAAAACAGCGCGGTCGCTAGTCTGTGTGCTGCACTAAGGATCCAAGGAGCGCAGCACACTACAATCCTCTGACGCGCGCGTTTCGCTACACCTAGCTCGTCAGAGAGGAAACGGGAGGTGCGTGAGCACCGGGTTTAAAATTCCAAAGAAGTTGTTTGATTGGTCCAGGTAAGCAGTTCCCCATTGGTTGCCTAAAATGACGTGACGGAAAGCATTTGGAGAGATAGAATGATCTATGCGGCTGCAAATAGTTAACCCTTTGGTGACAGAATTGGGATTTCCAAAATCGAAAAATATAGCATTTAGACTAAACTACTACACAAATGTTTGGTAACAAAGACAGATTTGTTTATGCAGTTATTAAATACGTTTGAGTCTATTCTGAAGTAGCTCCATGGGTGGAGGTCAAAACGCAACCATAAGACCCAGAAACAATTAGATTCCATAATACATCATTAGGACAGATTCTTATGTAAACAGTACAATTCAATGATCAATGATATAAACATGATGTCATTCCGGGAGCCACCAAATCATATATTATAAAAATGATCAGCCTTGTATGGTATATAAGAAGAAACAGTACAAGAGTGTCCTGATAAGTCTTAAATAAGGCTTAAATAAGGATTTATCTAGACGGAAAACACTATATCATATAAATAGAAAGAATACTGATATATTGAACTTAAAATAGTGTCTAATGTGTCTGACAAAATAAAAATAAATTTGCAGATCAAAATATGAAAAACTATAACTATCGGTAGTGGCTGGTAATAAGTCAAGCTAAAACAGCAGAATGCCGATCTAATGAATCAATAATCAGTGGTGTAGTCTGGTACTATGGAGACCAAAACTAAGCTTGTAGATTAATATAGGTCATATCAACCAGTGAATGTGACATAATCTAGAAAGCTGTTTCTGTCCATAGTGGCTAATAATATGCCATATATTCAAACACCCTGGTGGTTCGACAATAGATTATAAAGTCTATTGCTTGAAATATCAGAAAATGCTATTGGGATATACAGGTCCTTTAAATATCTGAGATAAGATCATAAATATCAGTAAGAGAAAAATAAGATCATTAGATGAACGTTGAGCTGATATTAAAACCAGTATTGAAGTGGCTGAAGTGGTGATCTCAATAAAAGGATACCACTAATTAGCTAGATATAAGGGGTATATATAGAACGGCAACAGCCAGAAATCGCTGCACCGACAGTAAAGCATACATGAGAATAACTAGGAGGGAGAGAGTAGAACAAAGACACATGTATAGGTCAAGTAGCAATAACCAGTGCTACAAAGTATCATGTATCCAGAATATCCAATGATACAAAGAATAGTTCACGATATGAGAAAGGGTAACATCCTCTATATGTGCTGTAATGAGGATCCAAGGAGTGCAGCACACCACAATCCTCTATGAATCATAATAAATGATTAGTTTATATGGCTATCCCATGGAACATATACTAATTAGAATTAGACATAGGTCACTAATAATGGCTATGGAAAATATGTTAATATGCAGAGAGACTATTAATGGTTCGTTATTAATGTATGAAGGGGGTAAAATTAAACTCCTCATTGAGCCCGTCTGGTGACAATGTCTTTAAAATATATATCCATCTGGACTCTTTCATGAGAAGTATTTTATTAAAGTTACCCTTCCTTGTGTTTAAGGTAAGTTTCTCCAAGGCCTGGAAAGTTAATTTAGTGGGGTCTGCCTCATGATAGTTGCGGACATGATTAGCTATTGGGGTCGAGATGTTCAAGTTGGTAATTGAACAGACATGTTGAAGTATCCTCCGTTTAAATTGCTGGTGATTTATACCGCAGCTGCGGTGATTAAATATATCACCCGGAAATACCTACCAGCAATTTAAACGGAGGATACTTCAACAT